GAGAAAAGTTGTATTTTACATTTAGATAAATCTTGCTTCTTTAAATGTATTAGTATGATTCCTGTCATTTCTGCCCTAATCTGGAAGAATTCTCTATTTTTACTTACTTTGTTTTGGTCTACTTCATGTCATCCATTAAAGATAAAAAAAGAATTGAGATTTTATTTTAACTTGGAATTCCTTTAACTCTCTTCTGCTAGTGTCCACAGTGACGGTGGCTGTGGTCCTCAGGGATCAAATGTAGGTAACGCTGCCCCTTCATGGTCATTACTCGGCGAGGTGAGAGGTCTTCTTGATGGGATCCCATTCTGCTCATTCTACTCTGCCTTCACTACGGTTGTGGTGTTTATACTGTGTCAACTTTTATTAAGATGAACTGTGATCATTTCCATACAGCTGGGTGGCAGTTGTGGGAGTTTACATCATCAACCCAAAACTCAGACTTGCTCAGCCAATTTAGATGTCAATAAAACATTTGTTACTTAATTTTCAGTTTTATCATTGGTTGTAATTTATACTTAGAAGTGAAAATGTTAACATGTGTGTCTGAGTTTGTTTTAATTAAGTGTGTAATTAGGCTAATGAACCTTGTAAAAATGTAGTGGTGCAGTCCTTAATATAATCTAAGCAGCTAAATTTCTAATTATGCATCCAAAATCATGTACAAAGATGCAGCATTTCATGGCTTGCTTTCTGTGACTGTATTCTTCTTCTTTGCCCCCCCCCCCCCCAGCCTTTTTTGGGCAAGAAACATTGTTCAAAAGCCATGAGGAAAGGCTTAAAAGAAATATATGTGTATTCACACAGTTTTTATTTTAGGAAAATTACTCAGAAGTGAGATTTGTACATAGTGGACATAGTATTTTCCCTCCCAAATTTTGTAAAAGGTCTAGGAAACAGTGGAAGAGGAGTATGTTTGGGGATGTTTCAGATTTACTAGGAAAAAATCCATTTGCTCCAAAGGCATATGTGCTCAGTAGGGTTTGCCTTGGATTCGTACAGAAGGTGAAGGAGGTTCTGTTTCATGTACCCCTAACCCCTACAGATGTATCTTCATGAATTGGCCCTGCCACATTGATAAATGCACCAAATCTTTTCCCCTGTGTCTGTCAGCGCAGCCAGTGTGGGGTGGTTCTGCTTCTGGGCTGTTCCTCCAAGCAGAGCTCACCCCAGCTCCTCTCTTCCCTCTCTCCTCTCTTTTACGTTTTGCAAAGTGGTTTCTTCTTCTAATGGAAAAGGGTGCCCCTAATAAAGGATTCTGGTGCTAACTGCTAAGAAGAACAGCCATTCTCTGTTCCAGCACATTGACACGCCACAATGTTCTGAACTGCATTAGCTTCAATTATTTTCTCAATAAAATTGTTACGGGACCCACCACACCATAGGTAGCCAATTCTTTATTACTTTAGAACAAATTCTAGTTGCTGGTTGAATTTGCAAAATATATAGCTAAAATTTGTTTTTAATCGTGCTATTTGAGATGCCTACAAATTGAAAGTGGAGGTATGGAAATAGATCTGCTTGCACCCGTGCATTTTTCAAGAAGATGAAAGGATCTGTTATTACTTCCCATTGATTTCCCTTCAGAGGGTACTTTTCATCCTCAGCCTCGCTGTTATCTTATCAGTTCAATTTTCTAGTGAAATGTTTTTGATAGTTCATTCCCATTCCTTTTGTAATCATTTTCACCTAGTGAAGCAGATGAGATAATTTTGCAGAATGTACCACTTTACTTTTAAATTAATCCATTCTTTTTGAGAGAATGATTCTAATAGTGTGGTCAAGTACTTAGAAATCAGCAGGCTACTAACTTCTCTGTAATTCAGTCTGTTCCACTGATTCCCTGATCACTTGCCGTGTCACTCAGGGTGAATTTTTTCCTCTTCTGCGCTTCCTTCACGCCGCCACCGCCCCCCCCGCCCCCCCCCCCCCAAAGTTCTCCAGTCTCTAGCGCTGAGAAAAAGGGTTCTGAGATTTTTGTGACTATTTTAACAATGGTTGGATTCTAAAAGCATCATTTAATAAACTTCTGTTATATTTAATGTAAATGCAATAGTGTATTTATTTATAATTTGTAACATTTTTACTATACGTTAGGATTACTGATGCTTTTGGCCGTATATAAAGGCTTATTCATAAAGACATGCCATTCAATAAATGAAGCATGTCATGCTTTTTCACTTTAGATTATTATTCTAGAGTGATTCCTAGGAAAAAATAAAAGGTAGATTTAAAAAAGAAAAATGATTATATAGATGAATATAAATCCATAGAGCTATTCATCTGAAAAGTATCAATGCCACTTATAGAATTAAATTATAGATTTCCAAGTTATATTATTTTAAACTGTCATAAATACTGAAAGAGTCTGTCAGGAATAAATTTATAAATTTAAACAAATTATCAATACTAGTTAGCTGCTAAGTAATTTCCATTAAACATAAACTCTATATATATATATATATATATATATATATATATATATTACTCTAAAGATATTCTGTGGGCTATTTTAGAATACACACAATATTACAGAATACATGGAAACACAATTATTAGTTAGATTGCACAAATGTTGTAACCATATTGAGAAATTGCTCATGATTTCACTGATTAAAAATTAATTAATTAACTGGGGTGACTCTTGGTAGGACAGAGTTTTGCTGCAGGGACTTGGATGCACACACTTCAATGAAGCATTCTTGGTCTGTGGAGGTGGCTTTTCCCCGCAGGTGTGGCGCCACGTGTGTGGTTAGCTATGACAGCCTGGGAGTGGCTGAGTCACTGTTTCCTTCAAGCTGCTCCTTTACATGGCAGCTGTGATGGAGAAGTGGCCGAAGGTCTTCTCCTATTTCCTGTATCATCAATAACTGTGATTTAATTTGATTTCTCAAATTACTTTGTCCCATTCAACAGAGTCATAGATATATCTTAATAATTTGATTCCTCTGATAGAACACTTTGTTCAATTGCACACAGAAGCAAACTTAAACCGTTGGGAAGCGTAGCGAGATAGATTGTGGGCATGATGACCTGGGAACAATAACTTAATTGTTGGTGTGGCATATTATGGAATCGCTTCCTTCCGAATACGGACTCAGACAGTAAAGTTGCTCATGCAGCTCGGTCACTGTCCTTTATTCTTACCTTTGAGCCGAGGGAATTTTTATGTTTATTTAGTTCCAATATATGGTAGTGAATAACTAAAAATTACCCATGGAATATTATTTTCCTCAGTCACAAAGGTTTTTAGACTCTTACTCTAGTAGATGCTAATCCTCAAATGGTAAAATTGCAAAAGGCAATTTAAATATTATCTCCCCTTATTATTCTTGCAAGTTGACAGACTTGACCCTAGTAAAACACAATGCCTCTTTACTATATTTAATAATAAAAATTAGAATGAAGTTAAACAACGACTCAAAAACATTCATGAAAGAAACAGGATTAAACTGCAAAGTAGCAAGCGAGAAAGGCCCTTTGCTTCAATTCAATTCATTTCAATTCAATCATATACTTGGTATAAATGAGACCATCATGAAAGAAAGGATCTGCATCTAAATTTCGTTTTGCTTGTCTTCTATTTTGCAAAAAGCCTTGTTAGAAATATGAGACTTGTTTACCTCAGCTAAACTCAGTCATCCATTCATTCAGTCGTCATTGATCAAGACCTTACTACTAGCAAAGTTCTTGGGCGCGTATTGCGAATCCCATTGTCTCTCTCTTCCAGGAGCATCCAATGTGATAGTAGAGATAAGGTGTGTGTATGAGTAACAATACCAGGGAGTGAGATAAATGGCCATGGAACAGGTAACAATTATTGTAAAAGTTTAGAAGAGAAAGCTTTCTATTTGGATATCTTTCTCCTAGAAAGGGTATGTAGGGTACTGCAAATTGTATTCTATTGGAAAATACATTTGTATAGGCTACTGGAAATTATGGTATCTTCAACTTTAATTTATGCAGGATTCTAAATTCTAGTATCTATTTGGGCATTTTTTGTCTCCAAATATTAGGATTATGAAAGAAAATGCCAGCTTTGGACAAGCCAAAAATGAGTTCTTAAAAATTTTCCCATGATCATGCTATAGATTTTGTGCTAACTATCTAGTGAACCATGGCATCAGAACTAGGTAGAGATTCCTCTTCCTTACGCTGCGACCATATAAAGTGTTTGCTCTCTGTCCCCGGGGATGTAGAATGCCCTTCCTGTCAGTCAAGAAGTTAGTTTTCTAGGCCAAGTACACTAGTCATTTTTACTTTTTTCCCCTCTGTATTGGTCTCTAAAAGTTTGTTCAGGCTTTCCTTTAAACCTGAGGTTTGAGTACACATGGAAGAGATGAATGGTGACCGGCTTTGTTCGAGCCTGTCACTGGCATTCTCCTATTTTTCTTCAAATGGAAGTAATGGCAACTAATTACTTACTTTTGGGAGACCTCATGAATTTTGAAATTCAGAATGTCAGGCACTATGAAATGCACATGCCAAGAATGGAGACTCTTGTCCTTGTGCACTCTCTCCTGTTTTCCTCCTCACACGCACAATGCGCTAAGGTTAACCTTTCTCCGTCACCTTTGCTTTCATGGAAAGATAGGCGTTGCCGTCAGCAGCATACCAGCTGGCTTAACACAGAAAACAGCCAGAGCTGTTCACGAATACCTGCTCTTCCCTGCTCCGCACTGCGATATCCACTGAACCGTCAGGCGAGCTCTGCTTGAAGCAGTTTTAAGCATAGAGAGAAGTATACGGTTTGTTTCAGAAGCACAATACTGACAAGCCAGAGAAGAGTTCTTGTATTTATTGGAAGGATCCATTTCTACACGTCGTTTATACTGTTGTGGTTTTTGTGTTGGTGTTATTCTAAATATATTAATAATGATTTAATGCACTCCTTTATTAGGAAGTCTTTGTAAATATTATAATGCCAGCATTAAAGCAGTAGGGCATTGTGCATGGTGGAAATATTACATGTGTAATGATTTGCATTCTTAATGTTCCAGAACCCTGGGGTTATTAGTAAAACGATTGGAGAAAGGTGGTAAAGCTGAACAAGAAAACCTTTTTCACGAGAATGATTGCATTGTCAGGATTAATGATGGTGACCTTCGAAATAGAAGATTTGAACAGTAAGTGTGTGCTGGTTGCACGGCCATTCTTTCGTGTTTCAGGCTGATAGAGTGCAGTCGATCGAAATGCTTCAAACAACGTGTCTGTAATCTCTGTCTTTACACCGAAGAGGAGTATTTTCTGCCATTATCTAGCTTTTAAAAATTTAATCAAACTCCAGGTAATTACTACCATTAGACTGGATTTCAGAAAGCCCTCTGACTGATGGAGCACTTCTTAAAATATTATGGGCCCAATTTAGGCTTCGCAATTTTACTCTTTTCTCACGTTTTGGAAAATTCACCAGGTTGCTAGTCTTTATTATACTTTAACTCACATTTCTGACTTTGTTGCACATAATGTCTGAATACAAATAAGCAAATAAAAAATCCTTTGAACCACAATGTTGTGGTCCCCTCAGATTTTCTTTATCCTGATTCAAGTCCTTATTCAATTAGAAAGATAAAAGGTGTCCAGTTACTATAAAACAAGACAAGAGCGAGCAGAAATCATAAGGACTTGGGGTAAGACCCTGGCTCAAGAGTCGGCACGAGGTGGGTAGCCTCTCAGGCTGGTCGTGGAATGGCACTGGGGCTGATGATTCTCACTTCACATTTGGAGTCATTGAGGACACCTTGGGGTTCTTGAGATTTTTGCATACACAGACTGAATTAATTTTGCTGATAAATAATGGATAGTTGCTTTCTATAGTTTTCTAAGTATATTTATAAGTATATTTATTTCTTCAAAAACTCAAATGATCACCTGTAAGGAAATATTCTATGATTTTTAAAAGTTCTATTAGATAATCTTGTAGAGACACGGTTGTATTTAATTTCTATTAATATTGAAATTGTAATGCTTCTGTTGTGCTTAAAACTATTTAGGGACTTACAGTTGAGGGCACAATGTTTTATCTGTAGTTGTGGATAATTTTGTCATTTTGATTTAGAGAATGAGAAATTTATATTTGGAGAGACAGCTATGCTTACATCAGAGCTTGCAAACTTGATTGATGAATGGGTTACTAGAATTTTGTTTCTTAGTTTCAACAAAGTCTGTCAGTTCTAGTTGCTTAATTAGTATACTTAATTAAGCTCATAATATCTTCTAGTCTGCCAGTCTTAATTTGCTAATTTTCCACTCTTTCTCAAACCCAGAGCACAGCATATGTTTCGCCAAGCCATGCGTACACCCATCATTTGGTTCCATGTGGTCCCTGCAGCAAAGAAAGAGCAGTATGAACAACTCTCCCAAAGTGAGAACACTTACTCTTGCAGCCGCTTCAGCCCCGACAGCCAGTACGCCGACAACAGGAGTGTGAACAGCGCAGGGCTGCAGGCGCTGCAGAGAGCACCGCGCCCGGCCCGCCCGGCCCACCCGGCCGATCAGGCAGACCCCCACCCCCGCCTGCTACCTCACAGCACGCACCCTCCCGGGAAACCGCCCTCAGCTCCGGCCCCAGCACCACAGACTGTATTTAGTACCAGCGTCAGCAGTGGGTACAACACCAAAAAAATAGGCAAGAGGCTTACTATCCAGCTTAAGAAAGGTACGACCCAGCTTGTGTTTGTTGTATGGAAATCATTTTAAAAGTCAACCAGCTAACCCACAGCACCCTAGGTTTTACCCCATTATCATGTGAAAGAACTGACATAACGACTTTTTTTAAAAGAAAGTATTTACAATTCTATTTTTTATGCTTTTCAGGTTCATTTTGCTACATAAAAATTAAATGTAAAAGTTCAGAGAATAAGGCTTTAAAAAATAAGTTTATGCGAAGAAGGTTGTAGTGACAGCTGCGGTAAAGTTTTTGCCAATGAAGGAAAGTGGTTTCAGGAGGTTATTACCAGCCCCAGACAACAGTGAGGACCTGACTGTTGTGGTCGCTCTCCCTGATGTCTGCACACAGCCCTGGAAGACCTCAGTGGTCCTCCGCTGAAGCCCTGCCACGTTGGTGACGGGAAGTGACTGACTTGTGTGAAGCTCGCCGTGGTTTGCGGTAGAATGCAGAGAAGCTAGGCCTTTGTGTCCTTGTCTCCTGCTTTCCTGGAGTATTCCATTGCTTTCCTTTCTTTTTTCTTTTCTCTTCTTTTTGAGGAAGGTTAGCCCTGAGCTAACATCTGCTGCCAATCCTCTTCTTTTTGCTGAGGAAGACTGGCCCTGAGCTAACATCCATGGCCATCTTCTTCTCCTTTATATGTGGGATGCCTACCACAGCATGGCTTCACAAGCGGGATCTGAACCGGCAAACCCTGGGCTGCCGATGCAGAATGTCAACTTAACCACTGTGCCACTGGGCTGGCCCCAACATTGTTTCCCTTTATTAAGGTGACAATGGAAATTGTAATGGGCCTTGCTGACTCTTTATCACATACTGTTATAACAATTTATTTATTTAAGTGCCCACTTCCTGTAGATTGTGGATTCTTGTGTACAGGAAGCATGGTTTTCTCCTTTGCACTTCCCCACAACTCAGAGCAGACTGACAAACTTGACTTTCCGATTTCCAGCCACTGTCCCCTCCAGGCACTGAGACACACTTTCCCTGTTAATCACCCATTTTAGTTGAGCCTTTTGATATATTTTAAAGTCCTGTCTTTCAAAATGGTGTCATTATAAAGAATATTTCTCTTTTTATGAGCTCCACCAACTTCTACAGTTAGATGGAAATGAATCCAAGAGAGGTTGGGTGATTTCCTCAAGTCACATGGCTTCTGGCAGCAGATTCTTACTAGAACATTTTCCATATCCTGACATTTAGACCATTCTTCTTTCCATTTTGGGGTAGGGTTTACAAGGTTGTAAACTCAGAGACTGCTATTTCCTTTCTAAATCATAGTCTTTCATTGAACTTTATGTGAACCACGAATTCCTTATTTCTGGTTACTGGCTTTTAAGCTCCAAATACTTGGTTGACATGAGCAGGAGTTGACAGCTTGTCTCTTCTTTTGAAACCCCTTACAAATACAGAGTCATATCAGCAGAAACCCCTGTGAGCTCTGTTAATTCCCTAAATGAGGAAAATACCAGATCCTCCTCCTTCATTTTTCTCTACTCAAATGCAGGCCCTAGGTTTTAAGCAAAACCATGTCATAAACCACAAATAGAGTTGTATAAAAAATAAAATTTTGCTGGGGATCTCTCAACAAAGGTGAACTATTTTACCTGGTTATTGTTGTAAAGATATTAGTTTATAAATATCTTTGTCCTTTTACACTGATAACAGGCATATTTGTTTAGTTAATTACAGTTTTTTCCACACAATTATTATATTTTAACAACTTATGATATAATATGAACTTTTTTAATGAAATGAAATTTTATTTGCCATTAAAAGAATCTTTCTTTTGAATACATGAAATAGTTTTATTTTAATAACATTTAAAAAGATATGATTACATTTTACTCAAACCAGTTTAGAAAGACTGTTTAATCAGTATAAGAAAATAGAAACAGTGGTTTTCTTTTAAACATTTTTCTGACCTTGAGTAATCTACATGATATAGAGGCCCACAGATCTATCTTGATTTTAATTTACTAACTGTGAGAATGTTTGACACAAGGCAGAAACTGCCTATGCATTCTACCAGTACTTACAAATGTTTTATATAAAAAATAATTTTTAGTATAAGAGTGAAGACGAATGCTGATTGTCTTTGATTAGTACTAAATACAGATATTTTAATAATAATAATTGAGAATTGAACAAGCTTTCATTGGAGCTAACAAATAATATTTTTATCAATTATTGTTACATTTAACATTTTTATGAAGTGCATGAAAAACGTAGGACATGTCAGTCTTAACCTTTAAATTCAGTTCAAAGTGAACTGACATGCTTTTTTTCTTTTTTTCTGATTTTTTTTTTCCTTTTTCTCTCTGAAACCCCCCCAGTACATAGTTGTGTATTTTCAGTTGTGGGTCCTTCTAGTTGTGGCATGTGGGATGCCGCCTCAGCATGGCCTGATGAGTGGTGCCATGTCCGTGCCCATGATCCGAACCGGTGAAACCCTGGGCTGCCGAAGTGGAGCACAGGAACTTAACCACTCGGCCACGGGGCCGGCCCTGACATGCTTTGAATGACAGAATTTCTTCATAAACTGAGACCAAAGCTAAATAGTAAAAGGAGAAGCCTTCGTCATGGTGATTCTTTGGCATAATTTTGGAACTCTGACATATGACATGACAAAATAGAATAGCCCCTGTGTACTTGCTTCCATAATTATGATTTCTTAATATTTATTGCCTTTTTGGCATTCTCAAATACCCTGCTCTTTTGAAGAAATTAGCTTTCTAATAAAGTCAGAGGAGAAGGTCAGTAATCTGTTTCAGTCAGTGCAAAATGTTTTGTTGGCTTTGCTAAATGAAAATTGATATCTATTTATCTTTCTTTTAAAGGTCATTGCCTGAACTTTTAGCTTACAGATTTAGGGGTTATTGCTGATATTTTAATAGTATTGAGGTTCACATAACAGTCAGTCTTTGTAGTTCATACAAATTAATATTGCAAGAGGAGAATAATTTAGCATTCTTTCTTAATAAATGTTATTGCAAGTCATTAGAGCTTCATGAAAGCACAGAGACATATGGAAAAGTCCCAGCAGAATAATTAGGAAAATTTCATATAGACAACATGCCATTCAAGTCTTCAGCACAGAAGACTTAAGAAATTAACAGTCCGGGCACATTAAAGTGACTTCAGACCTTAAGTAAATGAATGTTTTGTGTGAACTTCAGAGTATTTACAATAGGTTTTGTTACAAGTATAATTATTGCTTTTTTCGTTTCTCCTCTATGTTTCTTCTTTAACCCGTGTTTGCATTCATCTGGATTTGCCCATATTTGTTTGTGTACTTATAGATATGTGCTTTTGATTACAGTTTTGTATTGAGTATTGCATCAAATTAGCGTATTCTTCTATAGATATTTCACTGTTATAAATCTCTTTGTTCTTCTTGTAATAGGCAAGTATTTGTCCTAATATCATTTTAACTGAAATAGAACCTAATATCTTAAGAAATAACTTTTTAAAAAACTCTTGTAGAAATTAATCATGATTTGAAGTATTTAAAAAATTTTTCGGTTAGTCAGGAGTTTGTCGTTATCTTCACATTTTTTCTTGGCACATTTTGGCTAATTTCATTTGACTTCTAGTGACTTGTAACCCTTTCTCTAAACTGAACTGAGCTTATGTGAGTGCCTGTCAAGAAAGCTGCCAAAGAACCAAGAATTAAATTATACCAACCGGCACAGTAATTTAAAAATGCCTAATTAATTTCAGTAACTTTAAACATAATACGATGATCCTCAGACTTCGTAGCTGTGATCTGAGATGGGTGCTTCACCCGGTGATTTACCCTTTTTTTTTTTTTTTGAGAAATGTACGTGGTAGGATTTAGGTGAATTAGAAGAGAACTAGGCAAAGATAATATGGTTCATCCTGTCGGTAAATTGCTGTGAGTAATTGTAATTGGAGAGGTTCTGTTATCTGTATCTACAAAAATTTCTCCTTTGGCTATTTCGTTTCCATCTCCCTTGAACATTCGTCTTGCTCCACTCCTACCCTTCAGATCTGGATGCCTTTATTGCCCAATAATACTTGATATTTGAGGTACTATGAGTTTTAACAGAAGTTATTTGTTTTTCATGTAGAGAAATTAAATTTATTTTCATAATCAAAGATTTAAACCAATTTAAAAACTTTTAGCAGGCTTATTTATATACTAACTTTAATGTGTGTCTTTGAGTAGATTACCATTTCTTCTTAGATTAATGAATTTTCATATATAAACCATTTAAACTTCTGTAATTTAGTCTGTTTTGAAAAATCTGGTACAAATTTTAAAGTATTAAAAGAATTGTAGGCTATTGTGAAATTTGTAAATTGTCAAGTTGAGGTAAAGAATAATAAATCCTTTATGTATGATATACCTGTAAAATTCAATATTTTATTTAGTTATTTTTTTCTGATGTATATTTAGGTACAGAAGGCTTGGGATTCAGCATCACTTCCCGAGATGTAACGATAGGTGGCTCAGCTCCAATTTATGTGAAAAACATCCTCCCAAGAGGGGCTGCCATACAAGATGGCAGACTCAAGGCAGGAGATAGACTTATAGAGGTGAGTGACTTCTCGAAGTCAGAAGTTCCATAATTCCTGATAAGTTCCAGTTTCAAGGGTCACTTCTTTTAAGTTTGCATAAAATATGAAATTGAACTATATGTTTTGGCAGAGGTATGCATCACAAAACAATGTACTACTTCTTTTATATTTTTCATGTTATTTGGTGAGAAATATCTTTTCATTGAGATTGCTCATGAACTTTTAGTTACTCAGACATTTGGTTTATGAGATAACATAACATTTGTCATTATGTAAGTACAATGTCTATTAGGTTATATTTTTAGATGGCTTTAAATTTATGTCTGGTTATGTAGAAATGTTATCTCCTTTGTAATTGGAAGAAAGACAAACAAAATAAGTGAAAACAGTGAGTCTTGATGAGAGGAACAAGGAAATGTTGAAATGGCAGCGTGGAGAATGAATTCAGACATAAAAGTCAATGTCAGAAAGAAAGAGAAATAGTTTTGCAAAATTTCCTTACTGTATCTCATGAGTTTCTGTTCATTGGTCTTTGAGGCTGTCTTTGACATGCATACATGTACAGAATTCTGTTTGTGTGAGTGTTTATATGTATAGGAATAAAATGGAGAAAGACAGAATAAGTATCCTTTAGTAGCTGTTTTTCTTAGTGTTTTCTGCAGAAAATGTGGTCTGTATTCTTATCAGCAGATACTGTATTTCCTGCTTGTTAACTAGTATTCAAATACTAATCTTAAAGTAAATTTTTATGACATGGCCTTATTTCTGTCCTGGTCGTTTCATATGTAGTTTTGAACTCTCCAGATCTCACTCTCCTGAAGATTTTGTGTGAAGCAATGGAGCAAAGGAATAGCTTCCAGATTTTCTTTCCACGTCTACGTTTTGGGCTTAGATTTCGTAAATATGACTCCTGTCCTTTTTGTCTTGTTTGTGTGACATCAGTTTTTAAAGGGTCACCGATAGAGGCTGAAAAAGGAGAGGTTTGAGTACAGATTATATTTAGGGAGTTGTTTGCAGAAAGGGCCCTCGTCCTCAGGGTCGAAGTTCGTCGTTTTGGTCCGCGCCTGCAGTTGGAGCTTGCTTTGTTTAGTGAGAGTTTCAGCTGCGACTGGAGTCCAGTCCTCTTCGCCTCCAAGTCCAAAAAAATATCCTCTTCTCCCCACTTGCGTTCTCCTCCTCCCTCCCTGCGTTGCTCGCTTTTTCTTTTTTTCAGAAGATGATCACTTTATTTTTGAGTCTTGTCTTTCATTGCGTCATAGTTTCGTACTTTCCACACATCGCAAAGCTCCTGTTTTTCTTGTTGAGCAATGGGAAGGGCCTGCAACCTGTATTTCTTCAGACTTAGGCTTCATTTTCCATAGCTATTCGCTTTCTCTTAAAACTGAAACTCTATTTTTGCATGTTTTAAACCTAACTTTCTAGTATCTCTAGTTTTTCTCTATACAGTATCAATAATTCTGTGAGAGGTTTTTTTTGAGTACCTAGATGTTTGGTAGCATACATTAAAAAATATTAAGTGACTCAATTTTTTTTATCTACAGATTTTTTGCTTTCTTTGAACCTGTTATTACTTACCTATTTCCTGCAATTCCTTCATAGTAGTATATTGAGCTAACTAAGATGATTTTTAGCAGAGGGAGGAAGGTTCCAAAACATATTTTAACTACAGGAAAATTTTGATATTGTAATGTAAATAATATATTTACTTCCCTTGGACAAAATATTATTTTTGTCTAAAGAGAATAATATAGAATACTTTTTGAAAGAAATTTCCATCCTCATTTCTGTTAAATACATAATGCTTTCTGATTGTTCTTATACTTCCTATAATATAAAAATAATGAGATTCCCTAGGAATTGGTTGTTTCAAATCTCTTTTTTTTCTGGTAGAATTCTCTTTTAATATTGAACAATAGTGAGGTAAAATATTGTTACCCTTCCAAAAATATTATTATTATTTTGTAAAGATTCTTTTTTAATGTTTGCCTTTCAGGGATAAAAAGGTATCCTCATAATTTTCAGTAATAACTCATTGAAAGTTAAAATATTTATCCCAAAATATTTTAGTGTGTTTCTACTACTCCCTATAAAAGCAACACCTTTTTATTTTGGTAGAAGAAAACCTATGATACACAAGGCTATCAAGATAGCTCAGTTCAAAGCCAGGCAGTTTTGTGTTAACGACATTTTCGATGTATTTATTTATTCCTCATTACTTGTTAGTGCTCTGGTGGCTGAGCTTTTGGTTTATTGATGAACACTAAAAGATTTACTACTCTCTATCTTACTTCTAGATTTCTGGTCTGTGTTTCTTTATTAGCCACAATAGCCTATGGTTACCAGATCATAGCAGAATTTACCGTGAAATGAGTTGTGTTCCGCAGCAGGCATGATCAGTCCCAGAATGTGTGTCTTTCCTTGTGTTATCTGTTTGCATAGGATTGTAGCTGAAAACTTTTTATTTCTTTTAGGTAAATGGAGTAGATATCGCAGGCCAATCCCAAGAGGAGGTTGTTTCCCTGTTGAGAAGCACCAAAATGGAAGGAACTGTGAGCCTTCTGGTCTTTCGCCAAGAAGACGCCTTCCACCCAAGGGAACTGGTGTGTACATTTAGAGCAGATGAAAGGTTTCTGATGCACATGAGCCACGGGTCTGGGCTAGCTACCTGATGGCCAATGTTTATTGAGACAGACTCCAAGCACTTTCTATATTTTATGTATCTTTCAGCTGTAACTTAATACGAGCATTGTTTTCTCATATTCCCTCAGCTTTAGAAAGAGACATCCACAATTTTGAGAGTAGGGGTATTTAAATCAGATGGCAGGGATGTTTTCTAGGGCAGCAAATGATTATTACTGAAGGCTTTCAGATGGACGGATTGAGTACAGCGACGTCGATTGTTTCATAACTGTCACTTCAAAGGCTGTTGTTGAAAGCCTGCCATCTTCTCCACTACATATGACAAATTTTCATGCTTCAGATTTTCACAGTGCATGGAGCTAAGTCAATAAACATGCTTTCTTACTGTTGTGTGAAAAGGAGCACCTTAGTTAAATATTACTATTGAAAATAAAAAGACCTAAATGACAATAAGCCCAAAGGCCACTAATTACTGACTTACACATTATTTGGAATGACATATATGAAATGAAAAGGCATTTATTTGCAAACTATCTATTTCACTCTTTATACGTATGTCTAACTATTAAATAGGGGTATTGGTGTGAATCAAATATGTATATTAAATGTACATAGTTCTGAATGTTTTTCTGCAAAAAGTACTGGATTTCATTTATATGTTAAAACAGCATAATGGGAGGAATCACCTTTATCTTTTAATGTGGTGAAAAAATTGTTTTACTTCGAGTACAAGTGGTATTTTAAATATTTCAAAACAGATTCTAGTTGGGTCGTTTTAGAACATTTGGCATCTCTTTTAGCTAGCTGTTAGCTTTATCTAAACAGCAATTAATCTGTAGATACCAGAGTGGCAAGGCTTTAGGGGCACTGTTCCAAATTTCTCATATAGCCCTAATTCTCTTAGGCTAATACCTCAAGTACGGATATGTCATGGTTAATAAAATTTTCCTTTTATTATAAACCAGATAAACTTTAGTCACAGGAATATCCCATCCCTTGGTTACACACAGATGTAAAATTTAGTGTGATGTCGTGGAAATTTCAGATTGCAATAAAGTTGAAAAGTGAACACTTGTGTTTTAAGTAGATTTCAGCAAATTATAAAAACTTCTTTATTTCTATTTTAAAATGTTTAATGCATTATTTCTCCATTTAAATTCAGTTTCCCATTTTCCCCCCACTGTTATCCAATTTTGTGTTTAAAATGCCACCTGATCCTAAATGTGGAGATGTCTCTATTAAATTGTAAATGAGCACTTAAAAAAAAATCCTGAGCTTTACATGTGATCCGATGAAGCTTTAATTCTCCCTCCTGTATCTGAGCCTGGGTGATAGTTGGCATTATTAGATTGCCAGAGCTTAAAGAGTGCTTTTCAGCAGCCTTTCCCAGAGTTAGTGCCAACATATAGCCAGCTTAAGGTTATTCAGGTTCTTCTTGTCCAATTTTGATCTTCCAGGCTTCTGTTTTTCCCTTCTGCTGCCTACTTTTTTTTTCTTGGTGGTTTAATTTATTGCTTGTGAGCTTTTCATTAAGGCCTGAGCCAGTAGGCCGTCAGTCTATTATTCACGTTGCAGCTGCTTTTCAAGATTTAAAAGGATAAAATTCTGAAAACTTAAAGGAGGGCATTTAAAATGATCTTTGAATTCAATTAACGAAACTCCTTTCCTCTGTTTGGGATGTCTGTGTTTAAATTCTGTGTCTAAGACAAAATACATTTATCAATATGTGCTTTTTAAGAAATCAACCTTATAAGTACCTATGTAATTAACACAACCCTATAACATATGAAAAAAATATCACAATTATAGCCTGTGAATACTATAGTGCTTGTGGTTCAGATTGTGGTTCAGACTGTTATTATCTGGTCTAGCTATCAAATTATAATATACTTTATAACTTAGATTTAGTGGAAAAATTAAAAAACAAAATTAGAAGCAGTGCCATGAATAGGATAGTGGTTTGGTGAGATTTGTTTTCCTCCATATAATACGTTCATGATGTACTGTGAGTGAGCAAGCAGAAATCTATATCTCGAAACATTTCTTAAAATGCACCCCCCCACACACAGAAGGCAATGTGGTCACATCAGTGAAGGTTTGGAAGACAGAGTAATACATCAGCCAGAACATAATCACCCTCTATATATTTTGTGGACTTTAAGAACCAAAACAATTCCTTTAAAGTAAAGCTTTGTGTCCCTGTGTGTTGACGATGGCTTTGGTCAGTCTGTATTTATGTTTCTCTTCAATTCTTCTAGAATGCAGAGCCAAGCCAGATGCAGATTCCAAAAGAAACGGTAAGAGCTTTGTCTTTTGCAGGATGCAGAGATGTTGGAAAGATCAATGAACTAACTTCTTACTAATCAAATATGAAGTTTCTTGTCCTCCCTTTTCCTGGCTCATGATAGATGCTAGATAGGTTTATTAAATTCTGAGGTGGTCTTAAGGTGACTTATTGCTGCTACCCCAAATGGAGACTATTTCATAATTATTTTTGGTCAGGCAGGGATAAAAAAGAGAGAGACGTTAGAGAAGTTTTCTGTACACCTGCAGGATTAGAGGAACCAAAAATTGTTGAGCATAGTAGTTTGACATATAAGTAAAGGACTTCATGAGTTGTGAAATGCTGTATGATAAGTGGCTACAAAGTGAAAAAAATAAAAAAGAAAACTTGATTCAGGCATAGAAAAAATAGGGCTGAAAGAGCAGGAAAAAGCGTGTCATAAGCAGGAAAAATAAAACGATATGTCAATAATTAGGTTAAACATATTAGTTGCCACAATAGCTTATAGTTATAAGTATTTTATTTATTGTAAGTTATTATAGCATATTAAAGGGGGTAATTTCTCTTAATGAAAGGAAGTGCTCAAAGCTTAGATTAAAATGCAAAAATAGTTGTCTCCTGTTTAGAAGACAAGTCCTAATACAGACTGGCAATCCAGCAAGCAACAGAACATGCTGAAAGTAAGGAACGCCCACTCACTCTCTGAGAGCATCGTCTTAGCGCGGATGCACTGGATGGGCGGGAGGAGAGCGTGTCTTATGTTGACACATACTGTCATCCAGTGGAAATCCTAATGGTCAGGATCTTTGTTACATCAAACAACGTACTATCAAAATATATCATTGTTTTTTGTAAGTAGAAAGAAAATTCAACAAAACCACATCCACAGTAGGTGATGCTAATACATTTTTTCCAAAAATTGTTATATTCAGTAGCCAAAAAAGCAAGAATATAAAGGATTTGAATAACATAATTAACAGAGTTGATTTGCTTTTACGCATTCATAAACAGACAACTTTGAACCTAATAAACAAAATGTTATTGTTAAATATTCCATAATTATAGAAATGGATGACAAATCAGACATCAGAGGAAACTCAGTAAACAACCTTGGGACTATTACACATTCATAAGCATGGGTTGTGGAAAATTTATAGCCTTAATATTTTATTTATAAAATCAATATGTCAGTGATCACTAATCAAATCAAATCAATCAAGTCAAATGGTATTTGTGTGTGTGTGTGTGTGGTGGGGGTAGGTTGAGAGGTGAGAGGAAATTGGACAAATTGGTTCTAAAAGAATAAATTGGGGCACAAGATTGATTTACATTGTTTTAATAGACTAATTATGGCAAAATGTACAGTAAGCTAAAATACTTAACGCGGTATTGTTACAGGAATAGACAAATAGATCATTGAAACACATTAGTGATGATGGAAACAGACATTGTGTGTATACATATATTAAAGGTGGCATTTCAAATTAGTGGTAAAGGATGGCTTATTTAGTGTTTACAACAATTGGGCATTCACTTAAAAAAGTTAGATTCCTTTTTCTCATCACATAACACAAAACAAATCCCAGTTGGTTATGAAATTAAACCTAAAAATGTACAAAAAAGTATTAAGAGAAAATATGTGAAGATTTCCCTGTTAACTTTGGATAGTGAGTGCTTATCTAAGCGTGACAAAGCCAAAATGTTGTAATAGACTGATAGATTTGTTTATGTATATTGAAAGCCTTTGTATAACCATAACCCTGCCGTGAAGCAGTTGCAGGATGCACGCTCAGTCGGGGAGGTCTTTTGCAATGACATCCTCGGGTGAGGAGCCACCCCTCTGTTGTTTGAAATCTTAACATCAGAGAACTTTTTGGGAAAGCAAATGACTTCACACATAAACTGTATCTGTCAATGCCTAAGATTATCTGAGATGGAAAATGATGATATAAGCAGTAAAGATAGGCGTGTTCCTTCAAAACATTTAGTCAGTCCTAGTAAAGAAATTGACAATTAGCCTTGAACTTTTCAATCACTAAAGGCAAGCAGCAGCATTGGCTTTAAATGTGGTGTTCCATCGAGAATTGCAAGGTCCATTGCAATGCGCTCCTCGTCCACAAGCCTTGTGTGTTTACGATAGCCTGCTGGAGCAAATGACAATGCAGGCACCCTAACAAAAGAAGTAATATATATGTGTATGTGTGTCTGACTTCCGATTACAAATGGACATTTTTTCTGATAAGTGTTTTCCAAGCTAAGTCAAAAAGCAGTTTTGTTTTTTTTCTCTCGAATGTTTAGATACATCCTCTCACATCTGCGCCTCTCTTTCTGCTTTTGCTATGCAATACCATTTTGGGTTGTTAAAGGTTTCATTTTAAAATAATTTTAAAAATTGAATTCTTGGGTCTCTTCGTACCTTTTGATGGCAAGCCATTAAATTCATTCAAGTCTTGAAATTCTCTGATATTATTTAAACTTTCATGTGATTGTAAGCACCTTGAGAACAGACATGTCCTAAAGCTCCATTAATTTGTTGGTTGATTATCACAATGACCCATAACCAGTCTAGTCTGAGAAATAAGAAAAGATCATTAAGGCAAATGAGTGGGTCAGTAGCTAGTAGACCTTTTCAGTTTCTGAGATGTGAGTTTCCTGTAGATCCTCTAAATATTGTTTTAATTAATGAAAGTGGGAGATTAGTTTTAGGTTACCTATTCAAAATTGGACAAAAAGCTGAGTTATTTAGCAAAGGCTCATGGTCACTTGCTTCATGTCCTGAACAAACTCCTTTGCCTTTGAAAACTTTATTCACTTGCCATAGGGCCGTCTCATGTGGTTGTGCAGGTTGGACCAGATAGTGTACGCCTGTATTCGTCAGGGTTCTCCAGAGAAACAGAACCAAGAGGGTGTGTGTGTGTGTGTATGTGTGTTTGTATGTAAAACAAGATGTAGTATAAGGAGTTGGCTTGCTTGATTGTGAAGGCTAGCAAGTACAAATGTGCAGCGTGGGCCAGCAGGGTTGAGACCAAGGACAGCTGATGGTGGAGTTCTAGTCCAATGTCAGTCTGCTGGAGAATTCCCCCGTGCTTAGGAGGAGGCCTGTCTTTCTGTTCTGATCAGGCCTTTAACTGATTGGATGAGGCCCACCCGCATAATAGAGAGCAATCTTTTATTCAAAGTTCACCAATTTAAATATTAATCTCATCCAAAAACTTCCTTTTAAGTTGACACATAAAATTAATATCACAGTGAAGTAGTGAATTTACCTTCTGGCTCTCTGGCCTTAACTTACCAAGCTGCTAGTTTCTTCCTTGGGCTTCAAATAGGACTAATACAAACCTGCTGAGTAAGTCTCATAAGCACTCTTCAGTATGATCCATGTAGAATATAAATGTTAAACAAATTCAGGGCTATTGGATAAAACTAGAGCTTTAGAAAATAATATAGTTTAGAGATGATCCTAGACCATAGAGATAAGATATAATACACACTTAAATGTCATGAATTGAAAATGCATTCCAAAAAGAGTTAGTTGGTTCTCCCTATGCAAATTGCAGGAATGTATTAGGGAGTCTTTGGAAACGTTGCTAAAGCTCAGGAGGCATCTTGATAGGCACACTTCAGAAGGTTATAGTCTTGATTTAGAAATTGAGTGAGCTAGGCAATAAGCAAGATCGTGAATAGGTTCATTTAACTAATGGTTGTAGTAGATGAAGTAAGTGCTGCCATATTGACCCCACTGTAAATTGAGAAAACAAAGAAATTTTTTAAAAATCCCATGTGCAATAGCATCCAAAAGAATAAAATACTTAGGAATAAATTTAACCAGGGCGGTAAAAGCTATATACACTGAAAACTATAAGACATTGATGAAAGAAGTTGAAGAAAACACAAATAAATGAAAAGATATCCTGTGCTCATGGATTGGAAGAATTAATATTGTTGAAATGTCCATACTCCTCAAAGTGATCTACAGCTTCAATGCAATCCCTGTCAAAATTCCACTGTCATTTTTCATAGAAATAGAAAAAATCCTAAAATTCACATGGAACCACAAAGACCTGTAACAGCCAAGCAATCTTCAGAACAAAGCTGGAGGCATCCCACTTCCTGATTTCTAACTATATTACAAAGCTATAGTAATCAAAACAGTATGGTATTTGCATAAAAACAGACACATAGATCAATAACAGAATAGAGAACCCAGAAATAAGCCCACGCATATGTGGTCAATTAATTTATGACAAGGAGCCAAGAATATACAATGGTGAAAGGATAGTCTCTTTATTAAATGGTGTTGGGAAAGCTGGACAGCCGCACACAAAAGAATGAAGCTAGACCCCTATTTTATGCCATACACAAAATCAACTCGAAATGGATTAAAGATTTGAATGTAAGACCTGAAACCATAAAATTCCTAGAAGAAAACATAGAGGGTAAGCTCCTTCAGACTGTTCTTGCTGATGATTGTTTGGATCTGACACCAAAAGCAAAAGTGAACAAGTGGGACTGCATTAAATATAAAAGCTTCTGCACAGTATAAGAAACAGTCTACAAAATGAAAAGGCGGCCTTGGAATGGGAGAACGTATTTGCAAAATATACATCTGATAAGAGGTTAATATCTAAAATATGTAAAGAACTCATACAACTTGATAGCAAAAAAAAAAATCTGATTAAAAAATGGACAGAGCATCTGAATAGACATTTTCCAAAGAAGACATACAGATGGCCAACTGGCACAGGAAAATGTTCTCAGCTTCGCTAATCATCAGGGACATGCAAATCAAAACCACGATGAGATATCACCTCACACCTGTTAGAATGACTGTCGTCAAAGAGACAAGAGACAAGTGTTGGTGAGGATGTGGAGAAAAGGGAATTGTTGTGCACTATTGGTGAGAATGTAAATTGGTGCAGCCACTGTGGAAAACAGTATGAAGGTTCCTCATACAATTGAAAATCCAACTACCATGTGATCCAGCAATCCCACTTCTGAGTATACATCCCAAGG